GGGGGGAGGAAGCGCGTTTCTTACTTGCTTGGTTGTGGTTAAATCAAACAACCTTCGCCTCTGTAAAAGCTCACCCACCGTCAAAGGTACCTGTTGAGTATTTACGGTATCTGTTGTTTTGATACTTTTCTTCCAACCTGGTCTGACAAGTGGTTATTTGCGCCCATGTAATTGTCTCCGTTTTGTAACGAAATAATAGTTTGCTTTAAAATACGCGATTTCGTTTGGTTAAATTTCGCATTAGCTATATACAGTATACATACAGTAGACTATACTAATCAAAAATAATTATTATTGATACAACTGGTGCGGCTGCTGATGTTAGTTTTTGGAGTTCTTCACGTGAGTAGAATATAGTTGACAACAAGATTGGCTCTGTTTCCATATTAATCCTAACCCCACTCTAATCCTAACCGTACATTAATCCCTAATCATAACCCTATATTCCTTGTGTGGGATGGCATTGACAAGTTTACATGAAATCTGGTATCCAACTTGGGTGTAATTAAAATATCGATGTACAATTTCTAAGTTTGTATTCTTTCCAAATGTACTTGTAGCCTGCAAACACACTGACCAGTGATGGCCCAAAATACGATACCATACAGATAATGATTAACGCATTTGCAGCCACGTGACGCGGCCAATATTTCAGCCAGACCTTTCGCATTGGGATGTCATAATAGTGAATTTGAATGAAAACTGAAATCATGTTGAATACAAAATCTAAGGCCAAATTTATGGCTATCCTGGTTAAAGAACCTTGTATAACTTGCCAGGGTGAGATATCGAAACTCATTACAAGATAACACGCCAAATATGCCTGACTTAAGATGACCGTAGTGTACTCGAATAAGATATTCTGAATTTCAAGATCTGCGTTAAATCGACGAATACGTGGCGAATTTAAAGGTTGTACTTCTAATCTTGCGCCACAGCAAGTGTTGTTTAGACATTTGATGAAAAACTTCCACATTTTTGTACGAAAGCTAAGTGTTGCTTTACTGAGAACATTTGAGACACCATGTAACAGAGATAATCCGATGAAAAGCCAGATATTTTGAAAATGTGATTGCATTGTTCGGTACAGTACAATGGAAGCCCCGCGTAGGAAATAACACAATACAAAAGCACGATCTGGTGTAATAATCTCCGAGCTCTTTCTCAGTACAAGGTATTTTGCTATTGCAGTCACAGGCAAACTTATCCCAGGCGTGAGTACGGCGATTATAGCTTTTTTGACCTTGCCTTGTTTTTCCTTAAAGTATTTGATAATAATATAGGTGTAGATATTAGAAATTAAGCAGGATCCCAAGAAGGCGAACGAAAGGATGAGAAAAATATGAAACAAACTGTAGGATGTTACCGGGTTGACTTTCTTGAATTTACGAGCAACTAGGTAAGCACCACAGATGATTGAAAAGGTAAACAAGACGTTAACGGGTAACCTAAAGAAAAGAGTAAACTCGTAAATGAATATGTTTGCTGAGTCTGGTTGCTCGTCGTTCAGTGGGATTCTCAATCACTCGTATATGGACGGTCAGTGGTTTAAGAATTAAGACCTCGAATTGTTTGTTAGTTCAATCCGTTGCAAACGTTGGTCGATCCGTCACTTCATCATTCGATTAATCAATCTCGTACTGGGGTCTCGTACCCAGGGTCCCCTTCCCCAACATTCTCCTTAACTTGGATGTAGAAGACTTACAAAGCTGACAACTCATCTTGTATATAGTTGTCGGTTTACTAACCTGTATTTGCTAAAATGAACTGTGGTTGGTGTTACCTCGTCAAACATAACAATTCTATAAACACAGGTTATAGATCCTACCACCAACTGACAGACAAGTAAACACGATAGATAATTCTTCTTGAACTCTTTGAAACCCCACAACATAACAATGCTTGCCGGAAACCATGTAAACAATGGAAGTAATTCGAAAGACATTCCAACAATTTGGAAAATCTTCACAACTCTTGGAATACTGTAGTTGTTATGCATCCATTCGATGCACGCATCAGTTGTGTTCAAATCCACATAGACAATACCAAGTGTAAGCAAACCTAATATGAAAACAACCGCCATTACTAATCCAACATTAGCTTGAAAACTTCGGAGGAATGATTGGGCAAAGTCTCGGCTAGGTTGTCCATCTGGTTGTACCAAATCAGATATATCGTGTTCATAATAAGGTAACTGCTGCTCTGGCTGTTGCTCATACTCCCGGTGTATTAAGCCATCGTATACTTCGTTTTGTTCATGAGTTTCTTCAAATATCAATGTAAACTGTCTTTGTTCTCGATGTATTGGTGGTGTTTGTATCATCAAACTTGAGCAAAACGATAAAAAACTACTTACTAATTCTTCCAGAATCATTATTGTGATAGTAGTATATTAGTTGTTCTTTTTGAACTCGGAAAGTACAGTGCAGAACTGTCCGTTAAATGTCATGCAACTAACTAGTTTTCACATATGATATCTTTTAAACAAGTTGATCAGATTGAATACTCTGCACCACTCAACTCGAGCGCGTACAATACAGTATATTAGACTGTTGCGGCGTAAGAAACCCAATGTACAAAAGAGGAACAGTCTAGTATTTGAATTCATCTGCAATTTCATTTCAGCATCTGTATTCAAGCATTACGATGCGCCACAAAATTTGCAATACGCATCAAATTATCGAATCTGGATATATTGATATACTGCAACTACTTACAATACATTTTCGATTTCAAACTTTACTTTGCAAAATAAATAACATAGCCTATAACAGAAGCAGGTCTGTAGTATGACAACAGGATTAAGAACGCTTATCTTGACATGTATATTGTATAGGTATATTACGACAACTGGTAAATACAAGTTATTTTTTTGAAATTCAGAAGTAAAATTAAGAAAACCCCGCACCCTACAAAGACGCTATTTCTCTTAATATATAACGCGTCTGTCTAGTTGTGTGAGGACAAGTCGGGACTCGAGTTCAAGTGCGGACTCGAATCCTACAACATTGTTACAAAACCCTTCAAGAAATAGTTCTATCGAGTGTAGATGCCCAAAAGCCTGATATTTACCCCTAAAGCTAAAATTCTCGGTTTCAAAAACGTTTACGTTTGACCAGTGTGAACGCCTTAGCATGCAGGCGTCTTGTTTTATTAAGAGTGAGTTATAAGTAAGGAGAAAACAATATCCAAATGCAATTCATTGTATGACATGCGTGATAAGTTTCTAAAATAAAGAGCAAGGAAAGTGGTCCGAAATTGAGGACGTTAATAACTGCGAAGCGGAAAAAAATCCAAGCGTGCAGACGAGAACAGCAGAGTCGCAGCTCATTTGAAGAATTTAAAGCTTGCGGTGCGGTTTAAGTGACGGGGATGTGAAAGAAATTCCCAGAAGAATAGGCGGCAAATACAAGATCCGTTGACACAAGATTTAATTTAAATACAAATCTAACCCCGCATCACTTTTATCCTAACCATAACATTAATCCTAACCCTACATTAATCCCTATTAATCCCTAATCCTAACATTAATCTTAACCCTACATTTATATCCCTATTCCTAACCCTGCCATTAATCCTAATCCTACATTAATCCCTAATCCCTAACATTAATCCTAACCACTAATCCTAATCATGACCCCCCATCCTTGTGGACAAGTTGACAGGAAATATGGTATCCTACTTGGATCTAATTAAAATATTGATGTACAATTTCTAAGTTTGTATTTTTTCCACATGTGTTTGTAGCCTGCGAACACACTGACCAGTGATGAGTTTCTTCAAATATCAATGTAAACTGTCTTTCTTCTCGGGATAGTGGTGGTGTTTGTGTTATCAAACTTGAGCAAAATGATAAAAAAGTACCTACAAATTCTTCCAGAATCATTATTGTGATATTTTGTGATATGTAGTATATTAGTTGTTCTTTTCTAGCGCAAATGGTAGTGTATGGTACAGTGCAGAGCTGTTTGTTGATAAATGTAAATTAACCCCCTGTCACGTATAATATCTTAAAATAACTATGATCAGATTAAATATTCGGCACCACTGAACTCTAGGCCTAGGGCGTGCAATTTATGGAATTTGCGATTGCATCACTAAATCCATAGTATATCCATATATACTATTGCCATACTATATTCATAGTGTGGAAATTGTAATTAGTATAGATGAAGATTGGATTTCCATACTATTTAACTAAGATCTATACCATTTCCATAGTAATGATTTTGAAATATATTTCTAATATATATATATAGTCTAATATTAGACTCTTGCAATATAAGATACCCGATGTACAAAAGAAGAAACACTCTAGTATTTCAATCCATCTACAGTCCCATTTGTATTCAAACGTTACAATGCGCCACAAAAACATCAATGCACGATCAAGCTACTTCTATTGCTGTTCAGCTCTTGTTCATGTTCGATACAAAAAATACCGATCTTAATTTAAATTCAGTTTCGGTATAACGATATTTTAGTACAAAAGTGATGTGACCTTTGCAATATTGTTATGGAGTGGATGTCATACGTGACTCAACAACAGATACATGGAAATGCATGATATTCTGTAAATCTGCGACGTTTGACCAACATAAATTTTACAGCATGAGCTCCACCTTTGAATTTACTATATCATGAGTAAATTCTGAAACACGACCGAATTTATCATTATGATAAATTCGCGGTACATTTTGATTTTATCATAGTAATAAATGTGCCGCGAATTTAAGATCATGATAAATTCGGACGTGTTTAAGAATTTACTCATATAGTAAATTCAAAGGTGGAGCTCATGTTGAAATTTTATAAATTGTCAAATTCAAATTGATAATTCAGACACAAAGACAGTCGTTCTGGCCTACTGTACGTATTCAACATTTAGAGAAATTATAAATAGAGTAAAACATTTTAACCTTTATGATACAAATTTACAATGTACATGTACATAGGATTTCGCCCCTCTGCGATATAATAAAAGAAAACGACACGTGTTAGAATCAATAGTTGATTTTTAAAATGGCGGAGCAGTCACAGTATAAAATCGCGTAGAAAGGAACAAATATACGCAGTGCTTATTTACCCTTGCTTATCTAACAAGGAAACAAAGCGACACAGTATATCAAAATAGCCTCAGTGTCATGATAACAAAACTTAAACTAACAAACTTTAAATGAACTTGCTGAAGTATGTAACAATGGTTTTGTGGCACTTTGTGCCTCCATATACTATTATAGTGAGTATAGCATGTAGTGGAAGCCGATGAGCTACATGTAATAGGCATATTTGTATACAGTGGGGGTCAAAAGTCTGAGTCAAGTCAATATATGCTTTTGCTTTGAAACATAATCCCACAAGTAGAGACAACCAACCTATGGTCGTTAATCAATAATGCTGGAATAACCTGTGTTTAGTATTGTATGTGTAGCATATTACTTATTAGCATATTTTTATCTAGATTTATAAACTTAGTATTAGTTACAGGACCCTTAGTGATAGCAGTATTTAGTTATACTGAATAAGGTTTTTATCCTGTATAACTAAAGTTTTAATAAATTAAATAATAATAATAATAATAAACCATCAATACTAAGAAAACTTGTTGAATCTACATGTATGCCAGGAAGAGTTTAAGCAGTTTTAAAATCAAAAGGAGGTCACACAAAATATTAAAATAATGTTCACTTGGCTAATATAGTATAATCAATTCCAACGTTGATGTACTTAGTCGTTGCACATTTTGTGGTTGTGTTGTGTAAAAATGTATTGTATATCAATAAAAGGCAAAATAGTCGTTGCACATTTTGTGGTTGTGTTGTGTAAAAATGTATTGTATATCAAGAAAAGGCAAAATAGTCGTTGCACATTTTGTGGTTGTGTTGTGTAAAAATGTATTGTATATCAATAAAAGGCAAAATAGTCGTTGCACATTTTGTGGTTGTTTTGTGTAAAAATGTATTGTATATCAATAAATCATATTATTGGCACTCTACCTACACTGGCACAGACAGTTCAAGACATATGAACAACTGTTCACATCGGCATAATATTTTCACATGTTATATTTAAGAAATAGAAAACATTTTCCGTGTTTCTATAGAGTTATAGAACACGCGTGAAAGTTTGGGAGAAACGAGAAATTGCGTGGGAACACGAGCACTACGCAATTTCGAGTTTCTCCCAAACTTTCACAAGTGAAAGTTTGGGAGAAACTTCAAGTTTCACAAACTATAGTAAAACTTTCAAGTTTCACAAGCTATAGTAAACATGATTAAAAACGTCGCGAGGAAATATTTTTTAAAAAGACAAAATAAAACTAAAATATCTTACCTTGGTAAATAAGAAAAAGATACAATGTGTGCTATAATTATACTTTGTGCCTTAGGTCTTCGCTTTCTAAGTTTGCAAAGTGTTGCCTTTTTTTGTAACGGTTCTTCGGTGTTTCGGGACGTTTTTCAACTTTTTTCAAAATTAAATATTGTTTGTATTTTGTCTTTTAAACTCCCGCGCAATCCACGCAACCCGCGTGAAAATTTCTCGTGTTTCTATCGAGTTATAGAAACACGGTTTTTTTGAGCTTTTGACCAATCAGCGCCCGTGTTTTTAAAAGGCTATTTTATAAATTATTATGGTGCAGTATGACGTTATTCAGTCATAAATTGACAATACAACCTAATGGTTATATCTGCGTGCGAAATAATTTTATACGTTGTTTTTGAAAGACATATAAGTTATTAATCTGCATATCAGTCAACGTTGAATGTACAGCATTATCTGCATATCATACAACGCTGAATGTACAGTAAGCATTATATATAGAACGTTTGTGTTTTGTATGCAGTGAGTATCTATTGAGGCTGGGCGGTAAATAGGCAATCCAAACACTCATTAATAATTCATAAGCTTGGTGGCAAATCATGTCAACCATAATATGTCACGTGCAGCGGCTTTAAACCTTATAAAACACTCCTAATTAGTATTCTTTATATAAAGAATACTAATAAGGCATGCAGTATCTATATATTGTAATCGTGTCCTCATTAGTATTCTTTATATAGTATTCTTGGTGTTTGAAGCCGTTTAATAAACTCGCAGGTCTTGTTTTATTAGGTCTAAAGCCACTCGCGCTGCGCGCTCGTGTCTTTAAACCTAATAAAACACTCCTGCTCGTTTATTAAACAGTACAATTAACAGTTATTCTACGAACTCGAGTCGAATATGAGCTGATAGCCGATGAGGCGCGTATAGCGCCGAATCGGCTATCGCTCATATTCGACGAGAGTGAGTGGAATAACTGTTTTATTATATACACAAGGCCTGAATTCACAAACTTTGCTTTTCGGGTATTTTCAATATTTATCTGTTTTGTTT